CTCATTACTTGGGCGTGTGTGAGAGGTGGAACCCACCCAAAGCTCACAGCATCATTAAGCTCAAGCACTGATGCTTACATCTGCTACAGTTCCTGTTCTGCCACTATCTGGCTTGCCGACTTCATCTCATTACGAGTTAACAAATTCAGCTGTGTCCCTCTCCATTCCTATGTTTTTTTATGCAGCTTTCCAATAGAAAAAGAATTTTCCAGAAGAGGTCTATAGCTCTTTTCTTCTCTGCTGAGCAGCTGCAGGAGCTAGGTTGCCAAATAGAATCAGAGAATTATTTAGGTGAATACAGCCTAGCTGCCTTGGCAGTGTTTGCTGGGTTGTGATACCACCAAGTTAAACGGTATGGATTAAAACGAGTGCTGAGCAGCATCAGCAGTGCGCTGCCAGGCCAATGGGATCCCCAGAAGAGGCTCACAGTTAAAGAGAGATGGTCTGTAAGGGTTCCAGGTGGACAGTTACTGCGCTGGCCCCTTCCTATGATCTTCTCTTCAGAAATGAGTGTGTGAAGATAGAGAGAAGAGGTGCAAAGGGTCTTTGAGATGAGAAAACCCAATGTGGTCAAATATTTCAGTGGGTTGAGATAAATACCCCAAAACCTGAGGGCACTCCTGTGATTGTGTCACTGTTGCCCTAGACTGCATCTCAAAACCTGGGAGAAAGAGACGCACACGGGGAAGCAGAAAGAAACTTTTCAGGCCTTGGGGAAGGCTGGAATTTGGGATGATTCTGCCTTTTCCTGAACTGGCTCATTCCTTCCTAACCAGCCCTCATTGCACTGGGAGCTGTGGGGCTGACTATGTTTAAACATAGGCTCAGGCAGGTTGTGCCTGTGCCAAGAGCCCCCTCCTCGATTCTGTCAACTCTTCACACATCTCTGCCTTGACCTGCAGCATCTGCTGCTTTTGTGTCATGGTCCTCAATATAACTGCCTCGTCACAACCCCGGTTCTGCCTGTGGTGCTCCTGCTTGCGTCCCCTTCCCATGCACACACACGCATAGCAAGGAAGAGCAAAGTGCTCCTCCCAGCATTAAGCTGAGTGAAGGGAGATGAATCATGCACTTCACCAACACTTGGCACATCCAGCAGGGTCAGATGTCAGCTGCAACCTGTGAGGAGGTTGGTGAGAAACGTCCTAATGTGAGAATGAGCAAAGGAGTGAGATGAAGCACTTAGGAAAGATCAGATTGCCCTGAAATAAGCACAGAACAATCGGGGGGGAAGGAAAAACAAGGACTGGCTGTTCAGCATCACTCTCTCAAAGCAGAATCTTCCTGAAGGAGAAGACAGAGACACAGAGAGAAATTGTCTCCTCTTTGGGAAGATTATAGGAAAGAAATAACCCAACTTCCAGCAGATTCCAGGCACTTTCCCTGGAGCCAAGAACACAGGCAGGTAACAGTGACTGACTGTGGCAGCAGCTATTTGAAGGGAGCTCCAGAGACTTGAATCCAAGCTGCAGGTGCTGCAAAGAGGATAAAGGTCTGCCAACAGCAGCAGGTTCAAAGACACCTGCTCCAGCATGAGAAGTGCACATGCAATGGATGTGTGAGCATGCAATGAGACTGCTGGGTATACCTGATGCACTGCCTGCATGGCTTACTGCTGACATGTGCCCTTGCCCATCGGTCAGTTTTGCTGTCTCCAGTAGCCTGTGCTGCCAACTGTAGATGCTGCTACAAAGAGGAATACCTGCCACCTGAATGAGGAAATCTGGGAGGCCCTGGGGACAGGGGTTACTTCACTGAGTTTCCTCTGTGTATTCACACACCTCTGAATGTCAGTGTGCACCACAGCCTGCAAAGGGAGCTGCAGAACTCCCTTTTTGTCCACAGGAGCCCAGTCCCATGCACTTGAGAGTTGGGATGCAAGGTTAGACAAGACAGAAGCAATATCAGTCTGGTTTCCTTACTTTGTAGGGGGAAGAGATTTTTCTGTACATATAGATACAGCTTAGTTATTTCAGACAAACCTTGTCTGGAGGGAAGCATATACTGATAAAGCAGTGTTTCACAGCGTGAAAGAAGTACATGGACATTTTGGATACAAACTTTAAACTGAACAGCAGAAAAATGAAGTCATCTTCCTCTCTCTCAACAAATACAAGGAGTATATGGTGATACCAACAACAGACCTGGAGGAAGATGGCAATGAGAGCAGTCTAGAATCTAGACTGCAGGTTTAAGGGAAAAATCTCAGTTTAAGCTCTTGCCCTGTTTCAGGGGTTTATAAGGAGGAATCTTTGGGGTTTTCTCCTTCTCAAGCTGTAGAATGAGGAAAGTAGCTTTGCCTCAGAAGGCTGCTATGTGGACAAAGAGGAGTCTGAAGAGAGGCGAAACACACAGAGCCAGCTGAGCCATGTACTTTAGCACACCACAATAGTTCTGACAGAAGGCAGGTACAAGTCAAAATGGGAATGGTGGCTCTGCCACCACACCTGGAGGACAGAACACACGCACAAGGCGAGATGACAACTTGTAGTTTATTGGGATACTACAGTAAACAGCCTCTATCTCATTTCCACAGCTACAGTACCCTCTACTTAACTGCAATACATTTAATCAAGATGTTTCTTAGGGAACCCAATAAAGCTTGATGATGTTTAATGGCTGGGGCTTAATGGCTGGGTTGTTTAACTGGGCTCATAATTTTGATTAATTAAGATGCCTGCAGGTGTTGGAGTGGTATTAGCTTTGATGTTCAGAGGCAAAGGGGGTTTTGTATCCCCTTCAAAAGGATTTCTGTCAGTGCTAGTTCAGCAAACCAAAACTGCCTTCAAGCCCTTGCAGAAGAATGTTAACTCTCTCATAGCTGGCAGTAGCCCCCAGGTTTCTGGGAAGCTTGGCAGCCTTCATGTCCTTTTGACCAATTCCTCTCGGGATGATCTATAACAGTAAAACCAAACCCCAAACCCCAACCTTTTGGCATCCTCTGTCTATCTACTTAATAGGAAGAAAGAATGTGAGAGGATCTCCAGGGTGGTGATTGTGCATTCAGGCAACACACCCCATCACAACAGCAAAGTGCCCACCACCAAAGTGTTCCACCTCTATTGAAAACAGCAATAGAGCTTGTCCTTTTGAGCAGTGGAAAACACAAAGCCTGGCTTCTTATGAGTTTGTCTTCTCTGTTCATATACCCTAACACCTTGATTTCAGCTTCCCCCTGCCAGCCTACCTCCCTTTGCCTGCAGAAACTCCCCTATCCTGCTCTATCACCAACCTGCCAGCTCCCCCTCATGGAGTGTGGATGACCTACTGTAGCCTGTAGTGTACAGAGAGGCTGGCCAGAAGGTACATGTAATAACGCTAGTACTACCTAATAGGGAGTTTTAATTCGTGTTTCCCTATTCTGTTCAGCAGCAAACTGTCTTACAAAACATACCGACCTCAGGTTATTGTCTCTTCCATGCAGATAAAATGCCCCCAGCTTAGAAAAACAATATGGAGAAAATAGGACCTGGATACCAGTGCAGCATATGCTCATTCCCATAGGAAACAAATACAGGAGAGAAGCACAATGAACCAAAGTCATTGTTATTTCCAGTATCAAACACTGACATTAAATTAAACAGGACTTGATGATTAAGGCTTAGTAAATTGCTATGCCAACTATAAATGCATAATTACCTTATGGAGAGAGGACTGGAAGGAGGCTCAGAAAAGCAGAGTTACAGTGTGCTTTCCCACAGGCTGACTGAATGAATTTGGGCAAATGTTACTTTCAAGATCAATCTTCCACTTTTCTTGCAATTTGTATAAGAAATGCAAAATTGAAGCAGCATATTGTCTAGGGACCACAAAGACAACCCTTTTTCCAAGAAACAGCCTGTTTGGCAACCACAGGCAGTACAAACTGAGTCAGGAGGAATGATCTCAGCCTTTTCATACATCTGCATTGTTCCCCTCCACCACAGCTTTGTACAGTAAGAATAAGACATTCAAATGTAATCTATGGAAACTGAAGCAAATAGAAATTGGAGTAGCCACTTAGTGTTATCAGCATATTCAATAGCTTGTGATGAATCATAACCGAGCTACCTGCTTTCCAGGGCATTAACATTAAAGCAGAGGTTGGGTAGTATTATTCTGACCCAAAGAATGGGTCCACTTTTTAAGGATCGTGATGCAGTATATTCCAAACATACTGTGAATTCTGAAAATTCCTGACAGAACAGAAGAAAATACACCTGGAAACTCAATGGCAGTGTCTTCAGGCCCTCTTGGAGATTCCATCTTCTCATTACAACCTGCCACGTATTTAACTGCATGAGTACTGACTGCAACCTGGCTGGTCATGATTTTCTTCTACTACACCAAAAGAATGCAGGACCCAAACCTTTTTGTTTTTAAAGTGCTTACAAGCTTTTGGTTCAGTGTACCTAAAGTCCCTCAAAGTGCAAGGCCCTGCTTGTCCCCTCCACTTTGGTCATTGAGCAAATACTTTTGTTTCCTGCATGATCAGCAATGTTAAATGAATAGGTTTACCCAGCAGCTAGTAAGAGAAACATGTGGTTACCCAGCTCTGTAGCTCTAGATTGCGTTTGAAGGCCAAAGAAATGCTTTTGCCATATTTTAGCCCTGTAAGTGATGCTTTGTTATGCAAAGTTCCTCTTATCTCACCTTTAGGAAGTCTCTCACAACATAATATAGAGAAGGCAGACACAGAAATAAGTGGAATTGTTCATTAGAACATAGTCTTTATTAACCAAGAAAGATCACAAAAGTAGCTGGAGGGACAAAGGGTGAATGGTGACACGAAACCACCCGTTGTCAATATTTGTTAAAAAAGAAAACCACAAAAATTGAAACAAAACAAACAAACAAACAAACCTCCCAAAAACCCCAAACCAATAAAACCAAAACCGAAAGCTGAGCAGTTCAACAATCCAACTACATCTAGCTACCTTGTGCTGCCAGTGTAAAGGAGCTCCAGATGTGGATATGGATCCCTAAAGACCTCATCAAGTAGCTAAGAGGAGATTCATTGCAGACCAAGCAAGAATATTATCATTTGCAGGTCTTGAAGTACCAGTGTCATTGGCCAGAGCCCCGTTGTGCTGCTCATCAGCCATAACCACAAAAAAAAACCCTCTCTGGTTTACAGAATTGTAATCTCCCATTGCTGATTCACAGAGCCTGTATGAGACTGAAGGAAGCAGGACATTAGAGCAGCACTAGAGCTGGACAGCCTCAGCTTATACAGGCTATGGGTGCTATGTTACTCCTGACTTATTCAGTTTCTTCAGGGATATTCCCCCTGCACCATTCAAGGGAAACAATCTCCTGTTTCAGTCAGGTTTCACAAAGACTCCAAACTAAGAGATTACTTTCTGCAAACTTTCTCCATTTCTCTGTCCATCAACCAAAATTTATGAAATCAAACTCCCTCAATACTCTCAAGGTGACTTCCAAGGTCTCCTCTTCAGAGAGAAAACGAGCTTTCCCATTCTTGCTGTCCACACAGTAGGGGAGGTGCAGCAGCAGCTTTCTGTGAAAGAGGACACAGTGAATGTCAATGTCTCAGAACAGGTGAGCAGTTGAGATGGCACTGCAAGTTGCTCCTGCAATTTGTCATCAGTATACCAAGGAATGTTCTTTAGTATACCTTGTTCTTATGGCAGGTTGCGGACTTCCTGCAATACCTGGTGTGCAGCTATGCAGGACTGAAAGGTTTCCACACTATTCCTTTCTTTAGGCTGTGGCTATGACAAAAATTTGCAGTGATGGATTGGGGGCTCTCTCCACTGCTTTACTTTTGCACAGTGCTGCATTTTAAATGAAGAGGAAGGAAAAGCTGCCTTGGTAATGCTCTCCTGATGGCAAAAATCTGAATAATGCCTAAAACATGTCTTCAGGAGTTTGTCTTCTTTAGTAAAAAGAAATAACTGGTGCAGCCTGATTAGAGATTCTGGCCAGCCCAGATGCACAAAGGAAATGCCTACACTGCAAAGCAGAGTTCGGGTATGAGAATGCACTTATAGTTATGAAGCTCCTGGGATGTTAACCTACATTGAAGATTAATTCAGTGATCCCCTACTGGTGGCTCAGGGACATAGTACACAAAGAAAGGCTGGATCTTGGATTCAGGAGCTATTCCACAGTCTGTGGAATAAAAAAAAAGCCAGACATACAGCTTTTCCTAGAATGGCTGATCAGCCTTCTGTTTTGTATCCTTATGAGGATGTCTCAGTCCAGACCCATTCAATTCCTCTCATGCATGACAGTTCAAGCTTACTTGCTCATGCAGAATCTGGACTCTTTCCCCTCTTATCCCAGGCTTACATATTAACAATATGAATGACGGGCCAGTCTTGGACATCGACTCTATTGACAGTGCAAAGAGCAACAAGGACACCTTAGAGTCAAGAGATCTTCCCAGACAAATTTTATAAAGCCCGAAAAGTCAGATTGGGGATTACCTTAACCTGGGGTTCAAGTCATGCTGATTTTTTTCAGGTGTCTTGTAGAACCCATGGTTAAAAAATGTGCAGTCAAAACACCTTTGCACCACACCTACTGAAGGCAGCCAGTCGTTGTAGTCCTAAGAGGTCCTTAAAATCAGCTTGGCTTAGAATCAGCCCCAGGACTAGAGTTGGAAACAGTTCCTTTGAGCCCTCCTACACATCTGTGAGAGTACAGGATTTTTCAGGATGTAGAACTTGAAATCTTGTTTGTTTCTTTCATCCTGAGAAAACTTGCACTTACATTTGTGAAAGCAGCACTGGCTCAGCCTGTACCCAAGCAACCATTAGATTTACGGCAAACTTTTTATTTGCTAGGCTTGTGACTACAGACAGCTGGATACTAAGAAGATAATGGCAGATCTGAGTCACCAAAAAGATGGAATTGCAGAAGGAAAAGGATGCTGAGGTTTTCCTACATCTGCAGTATTGCATTAAACTACCTCTTTTAATATCTGTAGGTCTGCAAGTCCTGAACAGTTATTCCTCCTGACTTTCCAGTTTCAGAGCTAGCATTTCCAAACATTCTACTATTCCTGTTGCATCTTTGGGTTAAATCCAAGCAGGGGGTAATCAACTCGGCCTACTTCCGTCTGTGAGAAAAGTGGCTTTTCTATTGTTAGTCCACTAGGGGCAGAAGTTATTTGAGCCTAAATCCTTGAATTTATGCCTGCGCCTAGAATTTATTTGCAGGAAGCTATTCACATATGGATCTTACCACATTCCATTCAATGCAGCCTAGAGGGGATTAAGCTTGCTTATGAAAGCACTGTATTGTGAAGGAGAACTTAAATCAAAACACATGGGAATTATGTGGCAATCTTGGGGAGGGCAACTGCACACTGAGGAAGACTGAGAAGTCAGAGTATACCAGTCAGTTCGTTATCTTTGTAGGTGTGAAGTAGCCCCTATCAAAAAATAACAACTCAAAGGAAATATCTTCAGGAAAACCTTGTACAATTTCCATCTCTGCATCATGTCTGGATATGTCCACAATTTGGCTTTCAACTTCTGAAAATGTATCTGCACATTTTGACCATCTCCAGTTATATATTTGTCCAAATTCACATTTGCAAAGCAAACTACAACAAAGTCCTTCAAGACCATGGGGAGGTTTTTGCCAAACATTCTGGACCCTTGGAGCCTTGCTGTTTAAGTAGCCAAGATCTGTCTTAAAGCTGGCATCACAGATAAAGAAAAGTATCACAGATTCAAAGCTAGCCCACTATACAACAACTATGGTTGTTTTGTGTCTGTATCTATTTCCCATGTGCAATTAATAAACCAATCTTCAACTTTAGCTTTGCTTTCCATACAGCCTTTAGTTGAAGGCTTGGTTAAACCTCCTTTCAAACAAGATATTAACTGTACGCAATTGTGTTTCACTTACTTTTTGGGAGTTCGGAGGTCAAGAACCTTGTCCTGAATATCTAATGTGATGTCCGAGTTCTTTGTCTCTGGCAGTTTGATTTTAATCTGAAACGATGGGTAGAGGAAAAGCTATGATTAGATATATAGCTCTACAAGCCATAAAAGATCTCATCTTGCTGAATATTTTGATGCTAGTGTGAGAACAACATGGAGTAGTTGATTTCTAACAGGGAAAATATGACAGTGGTAAACATTGCTTTCAATAACTACATGATGTGTATTGATACCCTATTTTCTTCAAACTCCTGAGCTGCCAGTGTACTTGACAGGTATTCTACATCCAGCAAAACCCGTGGCTTTGTGTATTAGACAGTGTGCTTCTGCTAGAAAAATTCCTGAAGTTCAGGAAGCAGGGAACATCTTTGATCATGTAATAATGGGACAGGATCTGATACCTCTAATTTTAAAGAGTATCAGTATTGTAGCACTCTTCTAACTCACAAACCTTGTAATAAATGTAGACAGATGAAAACTGTCTCCTTCTCAAAACTGTACCCAAAATGAAACTTCATCTTAGAGCTACTTTTTATTTCCCTCATGTCTGTATGTGGCATTGCATTTGCACAGATTCTTTTGAGTACACTAGGTCCTTGAGGAGATACACATTAATCCCTCAGCTTAGCAAGTGTAAATATCATATACAAATGCTTGAAGAACTACACGAAAGTCCTACAAAGGCATCAATACAGCTTAGTGTTTGCATTCTGTCCCTCAAGAAAGTGTAAAGATTGAAAAGGGCAGAGAAAGATCACAAAGGGTTGGGAGATACAGGTTCATGCTCACCACTATATCTTCACAGCAGGCTGTGGAGTGGTCTTTCCTGCTCATCCCAAAGAAGACATCCTCTGTTCCCACACATTGTTTGAATAAAATCTCATACCTGGGAAAGAGAAGCCATTGCCTAAAACTACTGGAGAAGGGGCAGGAGACTAAAGGAGACTAATTCTCAGAGGGCTATAAATAACCTCATTGCATCATCTCTCCTCCTTTTCAGTCTCCCTTCAAGACTTCAATCCATCTGCACTGGATTTCTGTTCACAGCTACAAATGAGTTAGCTGGAAGGCTGGGGAGGATAATTCATTCCACCTTCCAAGGCTGTTTCTACTTCACTAACCAGCTTTTGCAGGATCAGGAAATTCATCCTAAGTGAATATGATATTTACCAACTAGTTAAACAGCCCTTGGGAAATGGATTTGAAAAGGATGCTGTTAATTACATGTGTTCTGTTCTGTCATTCAACATGCTCTTGCAGCCTGAGCATAACACTCTTTTGTCAGATTGTAATTGTTTTGCATTCAGCCAACATTTGTTTTCTTCCTCTCCACATCTACAAAGTCTAGAATCACATACTCACTTGCTCTTTATAATTAATGAATGAGGAAATACAAAGTAAATTTGTATTTAGAACATACATTACTCCTACTAAATTGAGCAAAAGAAGTGGAGTGAGTCACTTCTCTAAGAGTGTATGAAAAGTCTTTTAGATCTCCAGTGTTCATACGCATATGTAATAATTCCTAACTCAATGAGGAATCTGTCTAATAGCTCTGGGTGCATCTCTTTAGCCATCTGTTTTCCTTTTGGGCCATATTCCTTGATTCAATTTGATGAACTCTTACAAAAACTTATACTCTCTTTTCATAGCTGCAACACAGGACGTAATTCCTTGAGGCTGAAGCAGCAATGTCTTTTACCCATCAGGAAGGGAAAGGGTCAAAAAATGGCATGAGGAAAGCTTCTGTTGTGCCCACAATACAAAGAAGCATGCTCTATACATCGAAGGTGATAGCATCAAGAACAACTTCATCTAAAGCTATAGGTGAATGCCAAATCATTTTCAGATATGTTAAGTCTAAGTTCAGATTGGTCCTGGTCCTGTGTTTAGATCAGGAAATTGAACACCTCATGGCATGACTTACATGCAGAGAAATATGAGGATTCTGGACTACAAACTAGCATACAATGTGCAGCTTCAGAAGCTTCAGTCCATCTGCTCCAGCATTTATCACTCCAGGATATGGCATGAGAACACAATGATTAGAAATTCAAAGACTACTTTGTGGATTGACTGACCCTGAAGACTTTCTGACCTCTGCAGACTACAACTAACATGCTGGATTGTATCCCTTTCAAGAACATTTTTGTTATTGTCTCTCTATGAGCAAGGGAAAAGACCTGGGTTTTAGGCTGTCCCTTGACAGACTAGGATTGAATGACAAGATTTACAAGTTCAAAACTGCTTGCATAGCTTTCCTTCCTGTAGTACTTTTTCATAGAATCACAGATTGATTTGCATTGAAGGGACCTTAAAGCTCCTGCAGTTCCAACCCCCTGCCATGGGCAGGCACACCTTCCACTAGAGCAGCTTGCTGCAAGCCCCTGTGTCCAACCTGACCTTGAACACAGCCAGGAATGGGGCAGCCACAGCTTCTCTGGGTACCTGTGCCAGCGCCTCAGCACTCTCACGGGCAGGAACTTCTTCCTTATAGCCAATCTAAGTCTACCCTCTTTCAGTGTCTATTTGTCTCTGAAGAGCTTAATCCTTTGAAATGCAAACATAAGTTGGAGTACTTTATGAATTTGTGAGTATGAAAAATGAATGCATCTCAGTTGCCGCAGGAAAAGACAGCTATTTCACACAAATGGCATACTTGAAAGCCAGTAAATAGTTTCGGTGGCCTACTTCTCCTCCTAATCCGACTTCATACAAGTATGTGACACTGAAAGTAATGTTATAATGGGAAAAACCAACTCTATGTTTCTATTTATGAGATCAGAAAGTTTCCAAAGGAGAGGTTAGAAATCACTCCTCACATGTGGTTTTTAGATGCAACATTGATATCCTCCCTTTCTCCTTCCATGACACAAAGCTTTTCAGATGGCTGTCTCACTCAAATGCAGTCAAAGCTGTTTAACTTCTATTTCCATCAATGTTATGCAAAGCCCAGGCAGGCAGTCTCAGCTCACTTACTCTGGCTGTTCTCTAGGGTCCCAGGTATCATGATATTCAGATCCTTCTGGGACCTCCTCTGTATTCCAAATAGTTTTATTGTTTTCAGATTTCACCTGAAAAGTACCTGTCAGTGATGAGAAAAAAAAACCCACACTGAATTTTGGATTGGTTTTGCTCCTCTAGGTTTGCTGAAAACTTTGATTTCTTTAGGCTTTAGAAAAGTCTTTCTATTAGAAGCATTCTAGCAAATGTTTACAGTCTTCTTCACCTCAGTATCTTATGAATGAGAATATGCAGAGGGAGAATGTTTTCCTTTCCTTTAAATCTCCTTTACCCAGCCTCTCTATCAAAGAAATCTTCCTTTCAGGCATAAAACATCTTGCACTTCAAAATGGGTAAAGTGGAGAAATATGAAATAACCTTCCCCAAGCCCCCAAATATGGAATTTTTTAAGTGAGCAGAGACATTTACAAAAGGACCTCCTCCTCACATAGAAATCCACTTCCTCCCATTAAATACTGGGCACAGCCCTCATAAGGTACTGAAGACACATGAAAGTTCACAGGCAGAATACTATGGTTTATGCTTGTCTCACATGGAAAAACATTTTCTGGTAAGCTGATAAATCTGTAACTTGAACGGTTTTAGAGTGGAATCACAAGCAAAAATACTCTGTTAGATTTGCCACAATTCCTTTCCTGCTGCACTCATCCTGGTCCTTGTTGACCTTTCTTATGACTCATAACTAAGCTGCCCAATAATGTGATTAGTTCCAGAAGAACTTTACATTACAGCTCGTGACCAGGCTGTGTTCTGTACTCTGTTTATCATTGCCACTTGAGGCTGCTGTGCTCTAGAGTTACCTTTTCTGCTTCTCTTGGTATAATTTGCTGTTAAGCTTTCAGGACAAGAAGGTGTAATTGTAAACATGTAATGCTATTTCCATCTCAGAGCTCAGTGAGCGCTCACAGTGAGGCAAGCCCACCAGTGATGGTAACTCACTTCAGCTGTTACAGTCTGCTAGTATGGGGCTGAATGCTAAAACATACAAACACTCCTCCTTACCAGTGCTCTCTTTCTTTACTGGTCCAATAGTACCAGGAGTCATGGCATTAACAGAAGAGCGCAGCTGCAAAACAAAAGGCAAATGGAACTTGAATCAATTCTCTTAGAGCCCAGCTCAGTAACCACAATAATGTCACTAAGTATAAAGTGTTATCTGAGGTCAAACAAATGCCTACTGGAACCCAAAAAAACCATTATGCCACAATTTTGTGACTGAACCACTGAACGTTCTCTCTTCTTCACTCTCACCCAGAAGAACGGGACCTCAACACACTGTGTTTAAGCAGGACTCCCAGAGCACAGCACTGCAGACAGAGGTGCTTTCTGAGTATTACTTTGAGAAAGTTGGGGCTGTTCAGCCTGGAGAAGAGAAGGCTGCATGGAGACCTCAGAGCAGCCTTCCAGTATTTGAAGGGGGCCTGCAAGGATGCTGGAGAGGGACTCTTCATTAGGGACTGTAGTGACAGGACAAGGGGTAATGGGTTAAAACTTAAACAGGGGAAGTTTAGATTGGATATAAAGAAGTTCTTTACTGTGAGGGTGGTGAGGCACTGGAATGGGTTGCCCAGGGAAGTTGTGAATGCTCCATCCCTGGCAGTGTTCAAGGCCAGGCTGGACAGAGCCTTGGGTGACATGGTATAGTGTGAGGCATCCCTGCCCATGGCAGAGAGTTGGAACTGGATGATCTTAAGGTCCTTTCCATCCCAACCCATTCTATGACTCTATGGCACATTGGCAAAGTTTCCATGCTTTGCCTGCCATGAAGACATTGCAGGAAGCCAAGGGTGCTACATGAAAGACCCATCACAGCGTTCAGATTACTTTTGACAGTAGAGATCATGAGAAGCAACAACATTTTCCTCTAATTACAAATCAATTTAGTGCTAATAGGCCAGTGTGAGGCATTCTCTATATATGAAGGTTCCTTGGTTTGATAAGAGTGCCTCATATGCACAGAACACTAAATTAAATCAAAATAAAGATTTCAATTTACCCAGATTGACTCACATTTAATTGACATCCCGGTGGTAATTGCCATTTCTCTCTCTGAAGTGTCATTCATTTCATTAATAAGATGTAAACAAATCCTTTTAAAATCAAGATGTTTACTGCGAAGATGCACAGCCAACAATGCTAGCTTTAAAAAGCAGGCATTAAACAGCTGAAGGGCACTTAGCAATGAAGGCCCACATCTATCACCTACCAAATGGAAGCTTCAAGGGACGTGCACCCCTTTTATCCCCAATACTACCACCATTGCCACTCCTGCTGCAACTGAAGCAGTTGTGTGGTGCAGGAACAATGTACATTTTCCCTAAGGTGCAACTTTCATCTAGTCCTGAGATGGACAGGTATAGAAGAATGGAAAGATATTTCTCTCCTTAATCATTCAGGTCATCCACTTTAGAAGAATTAGGGACCCTTCCCTCTTTAACAATAATCAATGTATCTAACGTACTCCAGTGATCAATGATATCTACAGTCCTCCAGCACCTGACACAGGATCAGAACACTCACAGTCACCTCTGGGTATTTCAGCCTTGCACAGAAGTTGAGCATCAACCTTTTCCCTTTGTATGAACCTTTTACCGCATTGCCTTCATCTCTGGCAGACTTCAGAGGAAAGCAAGGTAATGTATAAAGTAACTGAAGCTTTTTCAACTACATGTTCTCATTTCCTGAGGGAAGGCCCGAAGGCTGGAAACTTAAATCTCCCTCCCATTTTGTAGTCTCCATCTCTCCTTGTTTTCCTGGGGCAGCTTCTGTGCTCTCTCCCCCAAGAGGTTGTTACCATAAAAGTACCTTCTGGCTGTTTCAGTCTAAACCCTTCTAAGGGTCTCATTCTCTTTTTACTCACTCTGGGCAAAGGAGAGATTTGCTTCTCCCCAGTCACCAGGGTTGGGCTATGGAGCAATATGTAAACCACAACATTTCTTCTGAAAGACTCACCACATCTTCACCATCATCATCATCATCCTCTGGAGCATCGCAAAGCAGTTTAGCAAGGAACTGCAGAGAAGAGGCTGAGGAAACACTGTCCATGTCAGTACCCACTGCTCACCTATGCTGGAAAAACAAATACCAGACAAAGAGAGAACAAACTGTGCTCTGTACTGTCCGCAGGGTGGAATGCTCCTCTTGTGTGTTCTGGAAGAATAAAGTTTAGCCAAAACCTTACCTGTGTGGTATCAGAACACGGATAATACACACAGCCTGTCCAACCTGTGCTCAGGTCACAGGCTCTCTTGCTATATCGGCATCAACCACAATCACAGCCCAAGCTCTGCAGTGATTCCTGGCTGTGACAGACCCTACATCAACACGGGTATGCAGCTGCTACAGGACGAGGGCATTCGCCGCGGGGGTCCCGGCCCGGCCTCCAGCGGCCGCAGCACCCAAAGGCCCCGGTGCCGCCGCTCCGGGGCTACAACCGGCGGCGTCCCCCGTCACCGTAGCAACGGGACGCCGCTGACTCACCCCGCCCCCTCAGGCCAGGCCAGCCAATCGGAGCGCGCCACCCTCGAGCGGCGGAGGAACGAGCCAATCGCTGCCGCCGGCGGGAAGCCCCGGAAGGTGGTTGGGGGGCGCGAGAGAGGGGCGGGCGCAGTGCGACGGTGCCGTGCGTCATCGGAGCGCGCGGCGGGCGGTGGTGCAGGCGTGGTGCCGCTGCTCGGTCCCGGTCCCGGTCCGTGCTGCCGGCGCCGCCATGAGCCAGTTCAGCTTCGGGACGGGCGGCGGCTTCACTCTGGGCACGCCGAGCACCGCCGCCACCACGGCCGCGAGCGGCTTCTCCTTCTCGTCATCCACGCCCGCGCCCTCGGGGGGCTTCAGCTTCGGGAGCGCGGCGCAGCCGGCCGGCAGCAGCCAGCCCTCCGGGCTGTTCTCCTTCAGCAGGCCGGCGGCCACGGCCGCGCAGCCCGCCGGCTTCAGCTTCGGGACGGCGGCCACGAGCAGCGCGGCTCCGGCAGCGAGCGTGTTCCAGCTGGGGTGAGAGGCCCGGGGCGGCGGGGCAGGGGCGGGCACCCCTTGGTGCTCTGCAGTGATCTGAAAGTGACTCAGGGAGGCGAGCCTGTAGATCAGTTATGGAGCGTCAGGATAAAAAAGCTTTACAGGGGGTTGCAAATGGCAGGAGCTGCAATATAGTCGTTATTGAATCTGAAACACAAGCCTGGTCACGTGTCTGTATTTTGTATGTTGGTTTCTGCTATCAGGAAGTGGCGAGTAAGAAACCTGACTCAGTATTTCATTGAAAGTATATCACAGAATCATGGGATAGAACCATAGAATGGTTTGGGTTGGAAAGGACCTTAAGATCATTCAGTTCCAACCCTCCTGCCATGGGCAGGGACACCTCACACTAAACCAGGGCACCCAAGGCTCTGTCCAACCTGGCCTTGAACACTGCCAGGGATGGAGCATTCACAACCTCCCTGGGAAACCCATTCCAGTGCCTCACCACCTTTACAGTAAAGAAACTTTCTTATATCTAACCTGAACTTCCCCTGTTTAAGTTTGAACCCATTACCCCTTGTCCTATCACTACAGTCCCTAATGAAGAGTCCCTCTCCAGCATCCTTGTAGGCCCCCTTCAAATACTGGGAGGCTGCTCTGAGGTCTCCACGCAGCCTTCTCTTCTCCAAGCTGAACAGCCCACACTTTTTCTCAGACTATCTTCATATGGGAGTTGCTCCAGCCCCTGATCATCCTCGTGGCCTCCTCTGGACTTGTTCCAGCAGTTCCATGTCCTTTTTATGTTGAAGACATCAGAACCGTACACAATACTCCAAATGAAGTCTCATGAGATCTCTAATAGATGGTCTCCCTTCCTGTCTTTTCTAGGTCAAATGCACCCAAATTAAGCTTTGGAGGCACTGCTGCAACTCCAGCCACGGGAATCACAGGGGGCTTTGCGTTTGGTAGCTCGGCACCGACCAGCACGCCCTCAAGTCAAGCAGCAGCTCCTTCTGGCTTTACGTTTGGAACCCCTGGCACAAGCACCACAGCTCAGTCTGGGACAACTGCAGGGTTTACCTTCTCCAGCGGCACCACGACTCAGGCCGGAGCAGCCAACCCGAGCATCGGTGCTGCAGCGCCGCAGACGGCGCCCATGGGGCTGAGCTTTGGAGCAGCACCAGCAGCTGCTGCCACCACTGCTGCCACCTTGGGAGCTGCAACCCAGTCTGCAGCCCCCTTCAGCCTTGGGGGGCAGAGCACAGGTGAGTCCTGGCCTTGGGATGGCTGCTGTAGTCAGGAATCCTGTCAGCAGGGAGGGCAGCTGGGGAGGTTCCTCAGCCTCTGCTTCTGCCCGTGTGCAACAGAGCGAGTGGCTTTTATACCTTTGTTGCTTGTAATGTGACTGTTGCTGTGGTCAGTGGAAGCTACAGTGTGTCTGTTGTAAAAGGTCTGTCTTCTCCTTTGCCTATGCCACTTGTTCCAGGCCTGAACTTTGGGTCATTAACTTCCACTGCAGCCAGTAGTGCACCGACGGCAACACTGACGACAAGTACCAGCTCGGGACCCGCTCTGTCTTTTGGAGCCAAAGTTGGAGGTAGGAAGTGATTTTGTGGAATAATTCCTGAAGGCTTTGTGAATCTTCTGTTCCTTGTGGGAATAGTTTTCTAAACTGGACTCTGGAAATGGGCTGGAAGTGTTTGTTACTGTGAATTTGCAGTGGCATAAGTGTAGCAGAGGGTGCAGGTGTAATTTGAGAAAACTGAGGTTTTTCCACCTCAAAAAGTACCTTAAAATTCTTTCACCCATAAAAAATGTGGTATAGATGGGCAATTTTGTGTCCCTTTCTGAACATGAGTCTTCTGAAAAGGGTGAGAGCATGATGTGGTTTGGTTGTACAAGGTGGATGCTTTTTCTGTTTGTAGTAACGTCCACATCTGCTACAACTGCCTCTACCAGCACAACCTCTGTTCTTGGCTCAACGGGGCCAACTTTGTTTGCATCTGTAGCAAGTTCTTCAGCCCCAGCATCATCCACCACCACAGGCCTCTCACGTAAGTCCCAATATATAGATGTTATCAGATGTGGCAATCGACATCCTTGTCTTTAAATTGGAGAGACATCAATTTGATAGGTGGACCACTCAGTGGATAAAGAACTGGCTGGATGGCTGCACGCAGAGAGTTGTGGTCAATGGCTCATTGTTGGGTGGAGACCAGTAACGAGTGGTGTCCATCAGGGGTTGGTGTTGGGACCGGTCTTGTTCAACATCTTCATCACTGACATAGACAGTGGGATTGAGTGCGCCCTCAGCACGTGGCTCTAACATTTAGCAGCTCACCAGTTTTCTGTTGACCCCAAGCTGTGTGGTACCATATATAGTCGGTTGATACCCTGGAGGGAAGGAATGCCATCCAGAGGGACCTTGACACACTTGTGAGGTGGGCTGATGCCAACCTTATGTAGTTTAACCATGCCAAGTGCAGGGTCCTACACCTGGGTCAGAGCAATCCCAGGCACACCTACAGGTTGGGCAAAGAAAAGATTCAGAGCAGCCCTGTGGAGAAGGACTTGGGGGTGTTGATCTATGAGAAACTGAACATGAACCAGCTTCAGTGTGTGCTCGCAGCCCAGAAAGCAACCGTATCCCTGGCTGCATCAAAAGGAGCTTAAACAGCAGGTCGAAGGAGGTGATCCTGCCCCTCTACTCTGCTCTTGTGAGACCTCACCTGGAGCACTGTGTGCAGTTCTGGTGTCCTCAACATAAAAAGGACATGGAACTGTTGGAACAAGTCCAGAGGAGGCCATGAGGATGATCAGGGGACAGGAGCACCTCCTGTATGAAGACAGGCTGAGAGAGTTGGGGCTGTTCAGCCTGGAGAAGAGAAGGCTGCGTGGAGACCTCATAACAGCCTTCCAGTATTTGAAGGGGGCTATAGGGATGCTGGAGAGGGACTCTTTGTTAGGGACTGTAGTGATAGGACAAGGGGTAGCAGGTTAAAACTTAAGCAGGCAGGGTAGAGCTTTTCAAAGGGGCACTGCATTTAATGGGTTCCACAAACTCTTCATGTTGTCTTCTGTTTACAGTTGGTGCCCCTTCCACTGGGACAGCCAGTCTTGGGACGCTTGGGTTTGGGTTAAAAGCTCCTGGAACAACAAGTGCTGCCACAACAAGCACTGCCACTGGTAAGGACTGGATGCAGAAGGTAGCTGAGGTGAAGGAAGCCTGACTTCAGTGCTGTGTAGTTGCATGAAGGACACATGGGCATTGATGATCTAGAAAAGTAAACAGATTAGCTCTTCCTAATTTTGTGTTTGTTTCTGATCCCTTCAGAGGGGCCTGATTGAGCTCACACAGCACTGTGCTTTAGAAGTGCACATTAGACCTGTTCTGTTTGATGGCAGATGTGTCCTCTTGCTTGACTCGAATCTCTTCTTTCAGGCACCACCACTGCTTCTGGCTTTGCTTTGAATCTTAAGCCATTAACTACAACTGGTGCCACTGGAGCTGTGACTTCTACAGCTGCCATCACCACAACAACAAGCACCAGGTGAGTAATGTGGTACAAGTGACTGTGTCCTGATGAGGACAAGAGGCAATATCAGTGCTGGCACCTGGTGGGGCAGGGGGAGTGGAGCAGTGCCATGTTTATGTGTTGGGTTTTGATCCTGTGTTCTGCACTGTCCCACACTTGCTCTCAGTGCGCCTCCAGTGATGACCTATGCCCAGCTGGAGAGTTTGATAAATAAGTGGAGTCTGGAACTGGAAGACCAGGAGAAACACTTTCTCCATCAAGCTACACAAGTTAATGCCTGGGATCAGATGCTGATAGAGAATGGAGAGAAGGTAAAGTGACATCCAATGCAACTCAGCTTTGCTTGGTTAGATCCTTAAAAGCCTTCAGTGTTTTAGGTGCCAGTGTGAATTATATCTATGTGCTCGTGGTATGTCTGTTCTGGTTGATAGATGTTGATGCTTGGAAGTCTGTTCTGTGAGTTTAGACTCTGGTAACTGTTATCTTGTTGTTATCTGTTGTTCAGGTTTTGGTCTGTAAATCTTTATGTAACTGTTTCTTGTAGACATTTGTATTGTGCTGGCTTTCTCAGTTCCATTCAGTCTCTTTTTAATTCTTGAGCTGATTTTGGATTTTCGTAATATAATTGGTTGTTGTATTTCAGATTTCTTCATTGCACAGAGAAGTAGAGAAAGTGAAGCTTGATCAGAAGAGGTATGACACTGTGAATGCTTGAAATTATGCAGAGAAGAAACACAACCTTCTTGTGTTGTGGAACGGCAGATGTAGAAGGTACATGAGCTGTAAGTAGTGTGGTAAACATTTTGTCTTTTCAGACTGGATCAGGAACTGGACTTCATCCTGTCCCAGCAGAAGGAGC